ATGTAAAATGCATAAAGAAAGAGAAGTTTTTATCAGGTTGTTCATCCACTCTGGGCCTGGATTATTGACACATGATTGTTGAAATCTGGATTCATATAACTGACACAGACTCTCATAGCATTCTCCAGATTGTTTTCTCAGCTTCATGCGTATTTTATTTTTATTATACGTTTTATGCTGCAGCAGTCACACAAAACGCATAATGTTGAGACCCTGCCTTACGTGTTTGTGTTTCGAGTGCATTTTATCCGCTAGTTTCAAGTCGGGTACCAGAGAGTTAAGAAGCTGGAATTTTAACATAATGTTTCCCTCCGACGTCGATCTCCCAAACTTAAATTCGGCCTTTACGTACTTCCTGGTACCACGTACGATCCCGCAAAACTTTTAGCGGAAGATGCCTTAGACGACAAACATCCGCTAGTCGAAACTGCGCGGAACACATGATCGCACCGGTACCCTGGCACGCCCTGCTATTTATTTATTTTCATGAGAGTGCAAAGAAGTGGCGGACTACAAGCTCCCCGTTCGTCTGCTGAGGTACCACATTCCGATTCTCTTCGCAAGCCGAGCTGGAGCGGGCTCAGGGTTACCGCTTGCCCGGTGTGCATTAGGGCCTGGGGTGGCTGCGTTTGAGACGTGGCAGTACCGTAGCAACATAGATGACTCCGAACAGTGCTCGAGATTTCACGACAGACTGAGTTACGGCTTGAGGGTTGTTTCCTGTCCTTCAATTTTCCAAAATGCTTCTTTAGGAAAAATGAGATCAATGCGATTGTTTTTTACGCCTGACAACACAGCATCTGGCCAATTTGTTGTTGCGACCTGGGACTCGCGTTATAAAATTTTACATTTTCATAACGGTGGCCTGGACAAATTGGCACGGCTGCTTGAACAGTGGAGTGTTATCAAAACAAAATGTGTTAAAGATGTAAGTATTAGTTACCCAATTTATATTTTTTCAGTGCGATGCATTAAGCTGATGCGTAAGTATATTTGTGCATGCGTGCACTTTTATATGTACCTGTTTATGTGTTTGCGATGGAATCTGAAATTTTGGGAGCATAACCATAGGCGTATGCGAATCCCCAAACTTGAAATCATCATTCGGGCCCCTTTATCTTCTATTCGATAACTCTTGACTCGGGTTTTTGTATAGATCGAAATCAAATGCTTTGTAAGCTGAAAATTATGAAATTAATTTCTATAATCTCTGAGCGCATGCCATTTTACAAATCCCACTTTATCTTACTTATAAGTCCTGTTGCAGATTTAAACGATTTTATAATTCCTTACTTGAAAAAACATAAAGTTGAAATTTTGAAATTTTAAATGGCCGGAATGATTACCATTAAGTCAACCACGTGCGATGAATCGGAGTCACATTAAAACAGAGGCTGACTGAAAAAAGCGAGCAAATAAAACTGAAATTATCCTACTTTGTAAATGTCAAATGATAAATAAGTTCGAGGTTTGCTGTCCGACATTTCGGCCATTGCACTTCTCTCAATTCAAAAAATTTTTATTTTTTTTCTCACGGAAACTTCATAAATACTACAGCTGCAAGTGCGTTATAACTATTTTTTACAAATTGGTGAGGACCAAGTCAACTTACACATAATTGCGTCAGAGCTTTTTTTTTGTAGAAGCATCGAAACGATCCCCATGTAACAAATATCTTTCTTTAGGATTGAGCCCCTGGCTTGCTAATTATGATTTCTTTTTTGATGTTCAGGCTTGTTGAACAGATATTATCAAGCAAATGTTTCACTGTTGTCCTTGCAGAAAGTTAGATATATTCTTTTCAGGGCTCTCCTTCTCCAATACCCGATCGACAGTTCTTGGTGTGCTTACCAGAAGTAAGCAAAGTGGAACTTGATCCAGAAGAGGGCCTGTATGAGCGTGTTAGCTGGAGCTTTTGGAAATCCTATAAAAATCAAGATGGTAGTATCGACGACAGTTTTACTGTAAAAAAGGTTCTAGCTTTTCAGGATATTCCATAATATTTTTCAACTTCATGATAAGTGAGTGCCAAAATTGCTCAGTTTGGAAAAAATGCGGAAAATTGGTTTAAAACTGTAAAGTGCAACTAAGGTGCAAAACAGTCTAACAAAAGAAATGGAAAAAGTAAGGCAAAAGGAGCGAAATTTTGCTAAAAAGTGAGAACCATGCAGCAAGCATCGGAATGCCCATATAGTATAAAATGCCATTTGTTCAAGTAGCGAAATTTGATTAAGAAATGCTATGGTAAGGAAACTGACATTCTTGGTTGGCTGACTGCTTGTAGTCAAATAACCCAAATTCAAATTTACTAGACCTTCTGCATAAACCACGCTTTTTGAACGAACAGGCACTTGAAAGTGGCATTTGTTAGCAAAGCTGTTATTGTGTCCTTTAAGGATTGCTCGATACGCGGTCTGTAGGTGACTCAGCTTCTCGGTATGCTGGGAAAACCGATATTAATGAATTATCAGTGCGAACCGGCGAACCTTAGAGAGACTCGTTCTTTCACAGCAAATTCAGAATGTTGACTGAACTTGAGAGCAGGTGTCACTTACCAAAAGCGGCTCACCAAAACATTATTTTTGCTATTCCCTCACTAATTAGAGATGCTTGCACACTTTACGTTCTCACTCCTTTATTTTGCTTAGTTTCCTTTCACCGAATTATTTAGTAATTTTTCAAGTTTTGTAACTTGAACGTCAAATAAGCTAATGAAGAAAAGCTTATTTACTCGATGTGATCGAATCATGACGCAAAAGGGCAAGCACGGGAGAACATTCTTTTGGGTGGTATTTTGTCAGTACTTGGCGCACTATTAGATCATAAGCAAATGGCGATTATGGAAGTAAGATAGCGTTTAATTACATGCTAAACAAGGTGTTTGCTGAAAAAGCAGTTACACTACATCCGTTATTTCCCGGGGATCAAATTCAAGAGGATGGTCCTAGAAAAAAAAAAAAATGTAATTTCAGGCCATTTATTTTGCTACAATGGATCCAGCACTTCGCCGAGACATCTGGCCATTTTTGCTACGTGTGTATCCATGGAATTCTACTTTGGAGCAGCGTGAGGCAATACGAAACGATCTTTTTATTGAATACCAGGATATCAGAAAGCGAAGGTGAAGGAAATGAGTTCTGCAAAATCGTCTCTACGGACTTCATTAATACAGCTTGACTAGTTTTGGTGTCTAAAAACAGAAAATATTAGTCAGATTTCTGAATGCTTTCGCTTCATTTTCCCAGAAAATATTTCGACTCGTTTTCAGAATGAAGAATACATTCATGAAAGTAAAAATGTCGTGGATGAGCGTGGAAAATACGATTACAAAAGATGTCATTCGAACGGACCGTTGTAAGCCATATTTTGCTGGTGAAAATAATCCAAATATCGATACCATGAAGTATGTATCCATTGCCTATTATAAATTTTATTTTGCAACGTAATTTCTCAGAGTTATATCATATCGTCGCAAAAAGAAGGAAAACACTTCCTCGTTTCTCTGAAGATCATCCTGACTGACAGATCAAATTTTTCGAAAATTACCAAGCAAATTATGATTAATTCTTGCACCGTTTTGGTTCACGTTCATACTTGTAACTGTTTTCCTCCTCAGATCGATTTTGCACACGTTTCTGCAGCAATCTGAGCGGATAATAGTCACCAGTTACGTTAAGTTTTTTTTTTACCTAATGTGCGGAAGACCTTGATTCGCGAACCATTAACCATTCCCTAACCGATTCGTTTTCGATATCCGCAAAAGCACACCAAGTATGAAAATATGAAGTGCAGGAGGGAGCATTTGTTAATGACAATGTGATTATTCTAAAAGATGGCAAAACGCAGAAGAGTAAGAACGTTTTCAGGAACATTCTTTTGAATTATGCGTCAGAGCACCCGGAAATCAGCTACATCCAGGGCATGTCGGATATGCTGGCACCTCTCCTGAATGTAGTGCGGGATGAATCGGTTACTTACTGGTGTTTTGATAGCCTTATGCAGCAAACATTGTTTTCATCTACACAAAATGATGGAATGAATGCCATGGATGTGAACTTGGTATGTAAATGAAATAATAACTTTGTGGTAAGTATTGAGATGCAGTCCAGCTGTATCAGGCTCTGCTCTTTCGGTCTGTATACTCCTAGCTGTCACTCTCCACGTGCACTTGCCACTTCGGATGCCGTTCGAGTGGTTTTTATGCGTTTTTGAATATGCAAATTGCAAAAACGCATATTGGCAAGAGGTTGTCTGTGTGCGTGTGTGTGTGCCTGTATCCGTGTGTTCGCATTTTTTGTCATCCATTTTCAGCTCGAGAACCAGAAAAGCTAGAAGGGTGAAACTTTTGAAGTATGTGCCCACACCCTGCGCGACCCTCCCGTTTTAATATCGTCATCCGCCCACGCCTGGGTGCCAAGTAGGGACGTCTCAAAAAAATATGTAAATTTTTTGGCGGGCAAGTGATCTCGGGAACCAGACAAGATAGGGAGTTAAATTTCACAGGGATGTTCTATGTCACTGTGTAAACCAAAGTTTTCAAACTCAGCTTTAAAACACGCCTACATCTCGCTTGCACAAAACTGACCTGATTAATTCGGTAACCAGAGTGAACAGGAAGCAATATTTTTCTAAGGATGCTGTTTACATGCGAGCCAGCAAGTATAAAATGAGGTTTTGCTTAGGCGTGTGTTTTGTGTACGGAGGTATCAAATTCTCAAATTGCAACACTGTAGTCACATCTTAGTAGCACAGGCTATCTTTCTACAGACTGGAATCATGAAAAAACGCATGGTCCCAGTGGCAACCCGGTTGCGTCACTACCTGGTTTTTACATGCGAACATATGAATATTGAAACTACGGAACTGTTTGACCCACTCTAATTCAGAAATTGGACAAGTCAGAAGGCTGGTGTTTTACGAGGATGCTTCATATTCACGTGCGACTCCGAAGTTTAATTCATTCTCTACATAAGCCTGCACCTCATTTACGCGCTTATAGAAATTTTGGTGCTAAATTTCCTAACTCGGAAGTCAGATAAGCCAGAGAGCCGGAATCATTACCCTAGCAATTCCGGCTTTCTGCCTTATCTGACTTCCTTTCTAGTCATGTGCGACTGTAAACGTTAACGGAACGCAAAAAATGCATGCTCGCACTGGCTACTTGTTGCGCCCCAGTTTATGTTTTCCATGTTTTGCTGTTTTGTCGTAGTCGTCGATGTATCTGGCAGCTTCTGCAGTCCGCTCTGTCCTGTGTATCCGTGTCTACATAGCACGATAGAGCCGTTCTAAAGAACACTTCCGTTTCACAGGGGATAATTCCAGTGGTGTTGAGCTATATGTTTTATCCATCACTCTCTCTCTTCCTCTCCCTCTCTCTCACTGACCGCAGTATCATCTTTTCTTTACGGCGTAACTGTTTGTTTATATCGTTTATGCAAATCGGAATGTGCGGATGTTTTATTTCTACTTTATCAGAATTTTTATAAGGAACATAAGTCGAAACACATCTGTTTAAATGAATCAGTACATTTTAGGAATATCTGCGAGAATTATTGAAGTTGTTTGTCCCAAATTTTTTTATGCATATCGCTAGTCTGGGCCAGGATGCGCTGCAGTTAATGTTTGTTCATAGATGGATATTGCTCTGTTATAAGGTTATTTTTATTTGATTTTGGTTTTGTTGCAGCTTTTGAAACGGTGCGCTTACAAGTTGAGCGAAAACTGTGCTAAGATGGAGGCATCCGTCTCTCTCTTTATTTTTAGGACAGATTGAAGCTCCCTACCCGTAAAGAAAAGGCTACAGAGTTGCATTCATCAAAGATCGGCGAAATGTAGGCAGAGAGACATAAAATTTGATGAAATGAACTACAATTTTACTTAGACATTAAAGTGAGCTTGCGCTTCTACGAGAAAACGAGTAAGGAGGAGTGGTAGGAGAGGGAAGTCTACTTTTCGATCTTGATGTAACTGACATAAAATTGGACATAAAGCTAAACATTTCACATATGGTCAGTTCTAAATAAGCAAGGATTAAAAATACGATTTTAGTTGAAAAACGCAGGGCAAAATCAAACTCAAAATCGCTCCACAGCTCTGATAAGAGTTGAAAGCACTCGGAAGTAAAGCGTGTGACGTAGCACGAAACAAACAACTGCAACTGGCTGGTGGGCCAGTCTGTGGCTACCTCTTGCGTTTGTTGCTTCTAAGCAACCCGTTGGCGTCTTTGGCTCTATGTTATGCATCAGTACCGAGAACACCGAGACCTTTCGCTTATCAGTGTGATATCTCATATTAGTTTGCTACTATGCTATAGTAGTAAACCAGTACCGCTTACCACTGAATGGCAAAATGAACTGTGGAAGTTTTGCTGCTAGTGGAGTCGAACAAATTCGTTCTGGCAATCTTAACAGCCTGGGTGATTTCAGTGAATAGCAATTTTCTGTTATTTTTACTGTTTTCTGTTATTCACTTTCTGTTGAGAGGTGTATGACTGGAGATAAAAATTTCCATCACTGCAAATGCCATGGATTTGTAACTGTCATTTTGTGGCAATTACTAAAGCTCGGCTCGGCATCGGTTCGGCTTGGCTAGCCCTCGGCCGCCTCGGCTCCACCTCGGCCGGCCCCGGCAGCAGCACGAATTGTGAATCGGTTTTCTGGATTTCATTTGGCTGGAGTGGGGGGGGGCGCGAGGCGGGCGGTTGTTAAGGTTGTCGAGATTGCTAAATCTCGAATTGCCATAATTGTATAAAATGTGTATTTTGTAACATGTGGAT